CCGATGACAAAGGGAACAACGTATGTTGTTATGCGGTCTGACCGATAAAGATCTTCGTAGAATAAGTAGGAGCCAATATGGGCATCCAGGTCCCGCTATTGGTTATTGACCGGAGACGTATCTCGGTCATGTCTACATTGTTCTCGAACCATAGGGTCCGCACGCTTAAACGTTACGATGACAGTTATTATGAGTTTATACATTTTGATGTACCGAAGTTAGCTCGGAGTCCCGGATGTGATCACGGACATGGCGAGGAGTCTCGAAATGGTCGAGACATAAAGATTGATATATTGGATGACTATATTCGGACACCGGAAGCGTTCCGGAGAAGTTTCGGATAAAACCAGATCACCGGGGGTTACCGGAACCCCCCGGGGGGTTAATGGGCCTCATGGGCCTAAAGTTTCGAACATTTATTTATTACTGCTTTGAATTTTGTTCCTTTGTACTTATTAGTTATGTTAAATACTTAAAATAATATTTTTATGAGCATGTTTAAACTATGATTTTAAATACTTTTTCGTTCAAACCTGGTATGCTCGCATAGGTTGGTTCATTTCAAGAATGTCCAAAAAAATATCATGTTTAACGTAGGGTGTCCAAGTAGGCCGTATGCTCTGTCTAAGAGCACATTGTTTCTCGACATGTGTCAAATGACCCTAATTTTTGTCATTGGCTTGTAGGACCAATTCAAGGCACCATACCAATTTGTTTTGAATTTCGATAAATTCTGGTGTTTCTGGAGTTTTCTCACACAAAAAAGGCCGATATATGGTCAGACATGTCGCAGCTTGCATACGGCGTCGGAAATCGTTCAAACCTGACATGGATGGCAACCATGGCCACGCTCACCTCCTTGCAAAAGTTGGAGTCATTTCAAAATTGTCCAAAAATAGACAATGTTGAACGGAGGATGTTCAAGTAGGCCAGAAAGCTCCACCTAAGACCAAGTTGTTTCTCAACATCCTTGAAATGACCCCATCTTATTAACATGGCCTTGTATGACCAATTCCATGCATCATGCCATGTTGTTTTGTTTTTCGACAAATTTTGTATTTTATGGAGTTTTCACGGTCAAAAAGGCCAATAACAATGGTCGGCTGTGTCGTAACTTGCATACGGTGTTGAAAATCACTCACATCTGACATGGATGCCTACCATGGGGCATGCCACCTACTTGCAGAAGTAGGAGTCATTTCAAAGATTCCCAAAAAAAAGACCATGTTAAACAGAGGGTGTTCGGATAGATTAGAAGGTTCTGTCAGAGAGCATATTGTTTCTCGACATCCTTAAAATGATCCTAATTTTTTTATGCCCTTGTATAACCAATTCCAGGCATCATGCCAAGTTGTTTTAGTTTCGACAAATTCAATATTTTCTCTAGTTTTCTCGGCCAAAAAATGTAGATAAAGGTCGGACGTGTCGCAACTTGTATATACGTGCATACACTCACCCCGATGAACGCACAGACACCCTACCCTTATGAACACCTCCGAGAGACTGGGACGACATATCATCTTGAGATCTTACTAAGTCACCATAAACGCCTCGTAGTCGACAAGAACGCCTCCTCCAACTAAACGTGCATCACCGAAAATTCCGAAATAAATCTAAGATAAATACGAGCACCAGGATTTGAACCCTGGTGGGTTGGGAATACCACTGTCTATCTAACCATCTAACCATGGGTTGGTTCCCTAGTTATCAATCAAAAAAATTCTTGTGTCCTAATCATTTCTTGAAATTTGTCAATAGAAAAAAAATCACACATTTCAAAAAACAGAAAAGGAAAAGGAAATAACTAGAATAAAACCCATTTAAAAAACAGGAACAAACCTTGAGGGTTGGAGTTCGAATCTCCTGTGGCGCACATTTTTTGAAGATTCAAAAAAGAAAAGAAAAAATGCTGACAGTGTCGAGTTGGGTTTGAGTATGTCATGTATGCCGGGTCGTGTACGGACAGTACGTACACAGTCCGCCTATCGGGGGCCTCCCATTAAGCCGGACGCTAGATGGGCCAGCCCAAATGTGCGGGAGGGCACAACCTCGTCTGTTTTCACGTTTTTGTTTCCATTTTTTAAATTTATTTTTACTTTCATTTATGCTTCCAAATATTCCAAACAGATATATTATAAAAACAATTTACCTAAAGCATTTGAAAACAAATGTTAATCAAGCATTTAGAAAAATGTTAAATGTATAGAGAGAAAAGTTTTCTGATGTACACAAAAATATATAATTTGTGTTAAATTAGTTGAACACAAAAGTTAATCCAAGCATTTGACAAAAAAGTTAAATAAGTATTTTAAAAATGTTAATCAAGCATTTAAAAATGTTAAATGTGTATATATAAAATGTTGACCATGTATTAAAAAAGTTAAACTTTTATTTGAAAAATGTTGATCCAAGCATTTGAAAAAAATATTTGAAAAGTACTTCAAAAAATTTAGTCAAGCTTTTGAAAAATGTTAAATATGAATAGAAAAAATGTTAATCTTGTATCCAAAAAATGTTAATCAAACATTTGAAATATGTTAAATGTGTATAGGAAAAATATTAATGCTGTATTAAAAACAGTTAATCATGTATATTTGGAAAATGCTAATCAAGCATTTGAAAAATATTTAATGTTTATATAAAAAACTGTTGACCATGTATTAAAAAATGTTTATCTTGTATTTGAAAAACAGTAAATGTCTAATAGGAAAAATATATTAGATATATACAAAAATGTGTTTGGAAAAACACTGAAACCTGAGAGAAACAAAAAACCCGATAAAAAACGAGAACGGACCAAACAAAACCAATGATGACGAAAAAAGTCATTGAAATCCAAGAAAGAAACAAGAAACTCGAAGAAAAAAATAATAACACAGTGAAAACCAGGAAAACCGGTGGACAATAAAGGAAAAAACGAAAACAGAAAAAAAATAGGTAACCAGCAGAACAAATCGCCTCCTTTACGATGAGTTGCTTGCGCCCTACTATTTTATCACTAAGTTAATAGTTAGCTAGTGGCTTGTGTTGCAATCCTGCATTCAGGAGACTTGGGTTCAACCCTTGACTTCTTCCTTTTTCACCTCTATTTATTTTAAGTGTTCTAATGGGCCGGGTCATTACTGTAAATGCCTCAAGCGATATATAGGCGCGCTGGGCGTGGACAACATTTTTTTTAAAGACCGTCATACTCTTTTTTTTCACTCTTTATTGTAAGGAGTATGAAAAGATTGGGGACAACATATTTTTTTGAATACCATCATACGTTTATTATGAAGGGGTATGCAGAGATCACAGTTAATATTTTTAAAGGGAGTGTACTGAAGCAGAAGTGTACCAACAATAACTCAATGGGTTTTCACGTGCTATGTGTACTGCTTCACTGCAGCAGATATCATACACTTGATTCGGAGCCCATGCACAACACCTAAATCAAGTGATTTGCAAAATAAGTCGGGTGTGAGAAGGCAAAGGAAATTAGGCGGGAGAGATACGTGATGTTGGATATCAGCAAACACTTGTGGAAATATGAAAACTCCAGCTAAATCAATATGAAATCTAGCAGTGCTTAGCATGGAAAGAAACATGGGCATAAACATATATTTCTTCTTCACTGCTTTCAGCGCACAAGTACAGTACACATAGGAGGTGTCTATCATACAACTAGGATAAGTACTACTCCCTCCGTTCCTAAATATATGCACATTTTAAGATTTCAATACAGACTATGTACAGAGAAAAATGAGTGAATCTAGACTCTAAAACACGTCTAATATATGTTTGAGGCCGTATTAAAATCTTTGGAAACGGAGGGAGAAGTCGGGTCATTACTAGAAAGATCTGAATGTAGACCGTATTAAAATCTTTTAAAAAAAGCCTTATATCTAGAAACGGAGGGAGTATATTCATTCCGCCGCTTCCCTTGAAAGTGCAGGATCAACATCAACAGGCCTAGACACTATGAAGGCACCCCAAGTTGGGGATAAAATCTATGGATCGTAGCCCCTTGGGTTGTTAAGGTTTTCAATTTGATTTCTCTCGCACAAATACAGGTGGGGATTCCTCCCCACTCGTGACTGATTCAAAACTAGGGCCATTCTTACTGTAATGTAAATATAAGTGCATCACCACATGGTAGGCCAAAGCAGCTTGTGTATATTTGCTTTCTCTGCGAAAATGGATGTATATTCATTTGAGCGACAAGTAATTTCGGACGGAGTAGAATGCAAGGGAAGGCGGCACAGTATGAACAACTTCATGACCCAGATTGTGTCTATATTCTATACCAGGGGCGAATCTGTAGTTGGTTGGGCAATTGTCATCGCAAGCAATCTCAATCATTCTACTGGACAGATGCATTCTTCGGACTCCGATCCTCGAACTCCGATCAATCTGGTGTCGCTCAGTGCCTGGGCACTGAGCTTGAAGTAGTGAAGTGAATAAGCAGTACCAGCAGCAGCTTCAGTGTACATACACAGTTGCAAAGTACGTACTGCTCTGCTTCTGATCATCAGAGCGGAGCGGAGAAGTGAAGGAGCTAAGGATACATGAATAAACAGAACAGAAACAACTGGTGAGGAAATTGTTTTTACACAATCCACTAAAATTAAGATTGCTCGCTCCAGCTCCAGCTCCTTGGAGATGCTAATTATTCGTAGAGATGCATGCACATTGTTGGGTATATATATGGTTTCCAAACAACAGGGTACTTCATTCCCTATAGCACACGCTTTATGACCATAGTTCGATACTAACTGTTTTTATTTGGAACCTATGAACAATTTCACCATGCGTTGAAAATGGAATGCAGGTCACAAAATCTGAAGGGGTAAACCGAGCATGCAAGCCACACCCTTGTGCTCAATTGCCGCCACAGTCACACCCTTGCCAGATACCAGGCACGGGAAGAGGCCGCCGTGTCTCGTGTGCGACCCCATAGCAAAAGTGTGCCTCCACACACCTACTTTATTCCTCTGCTGACTCTGACAAAGCTGGTGATTCTAGCCCTGCAGGGCACCAAATTGTTGTAGAGCTGATTTTAGGATATCTGGGGCATAACCGTCGACGGAAGCAATTCCTGGCTTGTCAAACGATACGACATCCTCTAGCGAATAGTTTCTGGCGGCATGAAGCTGGTTTGGCGCGGAATTAAATGAGCCTTTGAGTATGATGGTCTTCTGCACGCCTCCGAGTAGCCCTTCATAATCTGTATCGCCGCTTTCACCAACAACCACCGTCATGTTCGACAGCTCTACGCCCCACCTTATATACAAGTACCTGGACAAAGATGAACAAACATACCATCAGGACTATGTAGTTGCCAAATTTTGGCAGATTTGTCTGAGCATGCAGTTATTAGTATACATGAAAGAGCATATCGCACCTTCTCATTAGGTAGGAAAGTAGTCTAGATACAACAATGAGGTGTCAAACGACCCTACAGGAAAGAAGAAAAAAAGAACACTAAAGGAAAGCCTAAATCTAACTGTGGTCCAAAGCCCAAACACAGGTCTCGCCCTTGCTAGCCTTCAGCCTTCTGATGCTTAATAGATTTTGTCAGCCAATGGGTGCTTGCAGAACACGCCTACATACATCTTACTTCTCTTATGTTTGTATTGGGAACCAGATTATTAAAGTTTCTCCAGCAATCCATGCCTCTTAAACGAATAAAAAATACTCCCTCCATTCCTAAATATAAGTCTTTTTAAAGATTCCACTATGAACTACATACGGAGCAAAATGAGTGAATCTACACTATAATACGTCTATATACATCCGTATATAGTCCCTACTGAAATCTCTAAAAAGACTTATATTTAGAAACAGAGGGAGTACTGTGCATGGCACATTACTAACTTCTACTATATCTTCACATTTATTAAACAATGAATAACGTCATTTCAACATCAAATATGTATTCTAGTATCAGAGTATAATATAAGTCATTCAGAACACTGATATAACGATGTTCTACTATGACCGCTATTTTCTATTGTAATATATGCGATCAATCTATATACTCTGTTACCTCGCAAAAACACTTCATACAAATTGATGATCAGAACTACAAACATCCTAGAACGGTTAACATGTAGTGGCAGATAGATTATAACCGTACAAAGTATAGCATTTTACTCAACTGTGGACTCAAGGCTGTGTTCAGAAAATATATACAGCATTTATAGGAATAAACAAACCTTAGTGCTTGGGATCGTGATGCTAGAACAGGTATGAAGTTCAACTTGCTGCCATCATGGCTGTACAATACATGACAGCGCAATGCTTGAATTCTCATTGTCTTCCTAAGATCCTTCACAGGAGGGACCTAAAACAGTTGAAAGTTGAAGCATAATAAGAACACCGGCTATAGTAGGGAAGGTTGAGAAAATCAGTGAAGAAGTAGATGAAGAGGGCATAACAGGACGAAGAACAAACGTACAGCCTCAGTATTCTTCACTTTAAATGAAATGCAGTAAGTGGATGAACATTCGTCATCTTCAACAACTGCTTCTTTTCCACTCTCGCTATTCTTTTCTGCTGCCCAACGAATTAGTGTCTTCCTTAAACCTTCTCCTCCCCAACGATATTGAATCTGAGAGTGATAATCAAGATCGATCATAAATGGAAGCTCGGCAGGGCTAAGCATGTCTTCTGAATTTGAAGATGGATAGCAAAGATCACTGCCACTGCTGCATATGAAGGCATCAAAATCAGTAATTTCTATGCCCCCAGATGTTAACAAAGGATGTATCTCTGATGCTGCTCGAGATGTTGACAATACAAAACCAAGAGCACCAGATGATTTTTCTTTGTTTGAAGCCTGAAAAATGTTTTTGATAATCTGAACCAAGTCCACATCTTGCACAGAATCTACAGCAATAACAACGATGTGTTTTCTCCTTCGCAGAGATGGCCATTTATTGGAGCCTGTGGTGGCCCCAGCTTTCTCACCAGACTCATCCTTTGTGCCAGCACTAACAGCTTCTGAAAATTTTTGTACAGCATCCTCAAGGTTTCTCCTATCACTGGTTGAACTCCTTCCATATTTTGACATGCTGCCTGATTTTTCACTGTCCAAGGAGATCTTCAAGTTAAGTGATATATCATGAATATCCCTCAAAGAGTCACCAGGTGAATCTGTTTCAGAAACTTCAGTAGCATCATCGCTCTTTTGCCATCGTGGATGTCTAGACTTGAGCGTACCAACCCGTGACAAATAGTTTTTGCAATGTTCAGGCCAAGAAAATCGATGGATATTATCCAGACCATTCTGACGGCATTTTGCCCACAATTGCTTATCAGAAACAAGTCTATAAAGTGCCTCAGCTATATCATTTTGATTGTGGGGATCAACAAGAATGCCATTGTCAAGAACCTGAGTAAAAAAGAGGACATCAATAGGCAGAACAAAAAGTGAGTCACTGCAAAACGTAAACCAAGATAGCAGAACAGTACCCGGTGTATATCGACAGGCCCACCATTTTGGGTAGCAACCATAGGTAGACCATAAGCAGCAGCCTGGCAGGCAACAAGATGTAAAGCTTGCATAAACATTATCAATCCACAGATAAAGTAACAATAAAATGAAATGTTGCAGAAGTAACCTCGATCAAGGTGAGCCCAAAAGGTTCAATATAAGCACAGTTAATAAACACCCCCTGGAAACAACAGAAACTAAAATAAGCATATATTTATGTATAAAAATGTGAGTAGGGCACAAAGAAGCAGCACGGTCAGTTTGTTGCTGCAAGTCAGAGTGAGCAAAAAAGACTAGGCAAATTGCCAGGGCCATTAAAATTAGAACACAAGATATGCATCAGCTAACTACTCCCTCCGTTCCTAAATATAAGTCTTTCTAGAGATTCTAATATAGACTACATACGGAGCAAAATGAGTGAATCTACACTCTAAACTATGTTCATATACATCCGTACGTAGTCCATAATGAAATCTCTAGAAAGACTTATATTTAGGAACGGAGGGAGTATTACTGACAGATAGTTAAAATGTGAGAACCAGTAGGCCCATTGCATCCAATCATAACTTAATTATGATACGATGTCAGAGAATCCACTAGCACACTTATTATAGAAGGCCACCGAAACATTTCAAAATATAAAGATACACTTGGTTACCTTTGTTCTTGCCGCTAGACGATAAATATCTGGAACTTCAGATTGCTTATGGTGCTTGGGGTATGCCACTTGCCCATATAGATCATACTTGTCAATTAACTTGAGTACTGATGTCAAAACAGCTCCATTTGTGCTTGACATTTCATCAATAACATCACGGTTACCCATGATCAACGTCTGCCGATAAAGAATGGTTATAAAGACTGGGAACAGGCAGTGATAGTTGATGGCAGAAGATTATTAATGATAACTAAACCGCCGTATAGCAAAAAAATATATAATTAAGGCAACAAGAGAAACTACACAGTACTGGCACATACAAGGTTTGCTAAATTTCTCAGTTCATGGTGTTCACCAAATGCCTTAACCAGCGTAGTGATGTTCTTCTTGGGATCTGGACGAGCAAGAGCGAGAATCATGGGCTTGCGAGGGTTCGAGAAGAAGCGCATTATCTGAAATTGTTTTAACCAGAAAAGTAGGTAAATATAACACGCGATCCCAGTGGAACATCAACAATTATTCCTGCATATCTCTTTATGGGGGGATAAAATGGAGAACCTACATCGGCCCAAACAGGTGGATCTGGTGAATCTGAGCCAACTTCATTCGCTTCTTCACTATCAAGATCAACATCATGAGGCACTATATGGCTGAACTCCATACCAGGAGGAATTGGCTGATCATATCATATAACAGTAAGCATATAATATAGTGAAATAATGAAATCTATTAGACCAGAAAGGAATCAATGTAGATGGACTTACAATCATACGAGGCATTTCACGACCGTAGCAGCTAACACCACGCTTTATTCTTGCTCTAAGTTTCCTCTCCATAATCACATCAAATCCATTATATAATCCCCATTGTTTATCTATCTCTTGCCTAGTGCTAGTGATTACAATTTCAGATGCATCAAGACAAAGTTCCTCAGCCTCAATCCGTCGCATTATCTTGTATGTTGCATTTACTTCATCCCTGGTTTGACGCCCTTGCTTTAGAAGTTGCTCTAACTTGTCTCTGCCAAGAGAATGACCTGTGAAGACCATTGGCACATTGAGTGCCCCAGATAATAAAGCAGCAGAATCGCCTGCATCAGCATAGTGTCCATGGATAACAACAGGCCATACTGGTTGGCCATTGCCAACTTGTTCTCCAAGAACCTTGGACATTTGCATGATATGGACAAGTGCACCGTCAACAAATTCCTGGATGTGGGGCCAGAGCTGCTCTTTAGGGATATACTTTTCTCTTGGCCCAAATGGTATCCTGACAATATAAGCACCACTGCTTTCACCCATGTCATCCCCAAGATTCTCTGAATTTCTTGGACTCAGCATCTCTGTAGGTTCCCCATAACTCCAATCAACATCAGGTGCAGAAATCTGCCTTGTCAGCAGATCCACTCTATATACTCCAGGTGTTTCACCTAACGCCCTAGCAAGCTCTACAACATATTTGACCTGCAGGTTATGGAACCAGTTAGTTGAACTCAACCATCAATGGCATGTAGACCAACCTGTAAGTATTACTCCCTCCTATCCATCTTAGTTGTCGCTGAAATGGATGTATCTAGACGTATTTCAGTGCTAGATACATCCGTTTCAGCGACAACTAATTTGGATCGGAGGGAGTACGTAGCAACTAGCAACAAGATAAACAACAAGCTAACCAACCAGGAATGTAAGTACAGATATGAAGCTAACATCAAGGACGCAAACACGAAAATGAGGGAGACGCAAGAAGTACCTGGCCACCTGTATCTGAATCACGCCCAAGCTCCATATTCTCACCACGTATAAGACCATGAATGCTGCACAAAGACAGAAGATGTCAAAATAAAATCATCCATGTAAACAATGTTCATGTACTTCAAAAAAATTTAATAGCGCCTCTTCCTTGGGCTACTAACATTATGAAAACCTAAAATCAAGTCCAAGGGGCCCCATGATGAGGACGCGTGCATGTTCCATACAAACGGAGGTGACTTCACTCCTCTTTCAGCTCCCTGTGCATTTGGATGAGACTTGGCTACTACCCCAATCCAGAACCCTATGCATGCTTAGGTACGAAGGAAAGGACTATGAATGAGACTTGGCTACTATCTCAATCCAGCATGTAGTGGATATACTTTGTGCACATTGGCAGAACCAGGTCCATAGGTAGACACAACAAAATTGCAAGGCCCACGTGCATCTAAACCATTAAAATTTCATGGAAAAACCATGACCTCTGCATAGTGGGTGTGTTCATATCCACTAGATACCACCTACTCTTTCACGAATCGCTCTTTTGTGGATTGGAGCTCCACGGTATTTGGAGCAATCAGGTAACTATGTTTAAAAAGCCATAAACTCATAATGCATTGAACCGTCACTCTGATCATTCCTACTTCACCAAAAGGTATCTATTTGAAACCGCTATAACTGAACTTTCTAAAAGCAAACACATAGGGTGAGACCAATATGATCCCTAGAACAAAATTAGAGCCATACCTTACTAGCACTATGTACAGTTTTTTATCTTTGTGCTGATTTGCCCAAACATCAATAGCATCAGTTGAACCTATCCTTGGCATGTGTCCCCTTGTACTCTCAGCGTGAATAGATGATTCATTAATATGTTCTCCTTTTTCTCCGTCAGATAGGTCCTCAGACAAATCAGCAGCTGCATCTCGACGGGCCTTCTCACGCTCAAGACGTTTCTTCGATGAGCGGGAGGCTTCCTCGCCTTCAATCTGTATTAAATAATTCAAGATGGAAAATATTAAACATCATGATGTAAAACTGAAATGTTGGCGGAAACATGTGCTCATGTTGATGTATACTTGGGGAATGAGGAGTGTTCAAATCAGTTTTTGTATTTACTCCTTTCACTAAAATTCAAGAAGCTACCAGGGTAAAAACTCCTTCCATGATTAGTGTATAAGTAAGTAAATATGATATCATAAATGGCATGAGAGATAGTATAGTCACTTGGGGGCTCAGAACAACTGAGATGATTGGTTCAAGAAATGTGACCAGTAAAAAAAACTCCCATCTAACCAGAAGGAATATTGTGTGTGCACCTGTGATAAGTGACCTTTGGTGATTATATTAGAAGTCTGAGGAGAACACAATTACTAGCTAAAGCAGTTAATTATTTCATTGAACACAGAGCCAAGTGAAAGAACAACATTATTCTCAAGACTGAAGGAGCATCAAAACCACAAAGGTCAAGCAACATATATGTGTATGGCAATTGACTGATTTGAGCATCATGAGTTGCATCAGAGGACCTAGTAACAAAATCATTAGTGGAACACTTGATTATTGCGGTCGGAGTGTAAAAGCATATTCGAAACACCAAAGTTTGACACAGAATAGGAGTATGAGAAAACTAGAATGCGTGACTGGTATAAAATAGCTTGCCTGAAAGGAGAATGTTCTGGGATTTTATGCAATGCACTTGGTATGCTGTGAATGGTATAACTAGAGTGCGTTTATAATCCATGTACTATCATTAGCTGTAGGGCTGTAACTACAACTATAAGAAGTACATGTAGTTGGAATATCAGTGCTAACCCCTTGACAGAACTAGAATAGATCCCAAATTGCGACGCGCAGTTGCTTTTCAGCAAAAGAAACAGAATTACAGGTCTAAATAGCAGGGCCACAAAAAGAGTAGCACCAGGACAGGCCGTTGGCCCTGATAGCTAGCTGAAGATGTCCTATGAATCATGAATCGTAAACTGTCAGACATAACATTTACTTATTTTCTGAATCACACATGGCAATGGACTACTACTCTGGTTTGAATGGTGATACGAAACGACTTTTTTGCACGAAGGGTGGACAGTCAGTTGAGGCTGGATAAGTGGAGACCCATTGCAGTCCAACTCGTGCAGGTGTGCCAAATCCTTCAAGCAGCATATGTGCTTTGTGATAGGAGAGAGTTCATCCAAAACAACACATTAAAGAATTGGGGCATTCTAGCTAACAAGAAGGAAGGAAACAGAGCAGACATATGCTACAATGGGGACCCATCATTACTGTCAGCACCACCCGGGGAGGCAATGCATATGCGGAACGACTACGGTTCAGCATTCCCTGGTGCAACAGAAACAAACATGATGCCCAGCCACATACATAATCACTAACCAACAGCTACACTAGTTTAATGTGTTTGGCTGGCACCAGCACTGAACTGCCCCCAACAGTTTGGCACCAGCAGCGCTGCTACTTAGAGAGTACATAAAGTTGACAAGCAAATCGGGGCAGGCATACCTGCTTCTTCTTCCTGGCGAGGTTCCAGATCCGCCAGGACATGTTCTCCAGCCGCGTGTTCCGCTCCTGCGGGCTCCTCATCGCCGACGTCTGATGCATATAACAAAAATCCATAATAAATCACCGGAAACAATCAAAATCTCGCCACCTAAGCTGATCTAATCTAATCCAATCTGGAGCAAGCAGCTAGCTAAGACACGAGGAGCGAGGAGGGGCGGCGAGGAAGGCTTACGCGGACCCAGGTCTTGTAGAGGTCGGTCTCGTCGAAGCCGGAGATGACCTCCTCCACGAAGTAGCGCGCCGGGTTGAAGCGGCCGCGCTCCCGCAGCATGAGCGACGACTTGTCCCGCCTCTTCTCCGCCGCGTCGCCGCCGCCCCCGGGCGCCGTTGAGGCGGCCGAGATCTCCCCCGCGGCGCCCCCCGCGTCCAGGATGGCCTCCAGGTAGCTGTTGATCCAGTCGTTCCCCACCATCGCGCCGCCCGCCCGCGCGCGCGCTCCCTCCCCGGCGCTCTCTCCGGCGACGAGATGAGATGAGATGCGGTGGGGGGCGGGGAGGGTTGTGGAAGGGGGCGAGGATTGGGAATCGGTGGCAGTGCTAGCGACTGCTAATGATGACCATGGTTTGAGCCTTCCCGAAGCAAAGCTGGCAAAGGGAGATTCGCAGTGAAGATACCACCGGTGGGTGGGGGTGGGTGGTGGACTCCCGTTTCCGTAGGTTTCTTCCCCCGTTGCCGTCAGCGTGCGCCACGTTGCGTCCCGGGGTGCACAGCTGTGTCCAAATCAAAGCGTCTTCAACAGTTGAAATCTCCTGGAATATTAAACCCTGGGGGAATATCCCCCTCAACCGACGGGTTTTTCTTTCAGCCCCCGTCGACCGACCGACTAGAGGGCGCCACGTGCCCACTTGAGCCCGCATCACCGCTTTTTTTTTTCTTTTTTTTACGAGTAGCAAATATGTGCATGCGTTACCAGTAACGACCAACCTTAAATATATCTAAAACCCTGCATTACTGAGGGCAGGAGGGGGTCGGCAAACTCTATATAAGCCACCCCTCCTCAGTGTGGAGGGTTCGCACCCCTATTATCTACACACACATAATCCAATCGATCGCCTCTGGGCACCGAGACGTAGGGTTGTTACTTCCTCCAAGAAGGGCTTGAACTCGTAAACATTGTGTGCTTACAACTTCCCAATAGCTAAGATCTAGCCTCTCCATACACACCCCCCTACATTACTGTCAGACTTAGAACCACGACAGTTGGCGCCCACCGTGGGGCCGGAGTCTTAGCGCCTAATTGGAGAAATTGTGATTTTTCCGATCCGTTTGATCATGGTTTCCTGCGGAGTTTTGGTAGAGGGCCGCGAGATCCGTCTCGGCGCGCTCACTTTCATCACCGACGACTCCGCCTGGCTTCAGGAGGCGCCACTCGACGTCGACGCGCTCCCCGTCTGCGGCGCGACGCATTTCCACGCATGCGTTCCCGGCGTCCTCCTGCGGCAGCCGTCGACCCAGTATCAGTCGGCCCCCGTGTCGTCTCCCCGCCCCGTCTCCCACCAGCGCAAGCGCTCAGGTCGGTCAGCGGTGGGTAAGGCACTCCTGTTCGACCTATCGACTGGCTCCGCGGAGACCGCATCCAAGTGCGATAGCAGCGACCCTTTGGCTGAGGTTCTGGCGGTCGAGGGGACACACAGTCCTCCCGGATTCCCTTGCGCTGATGGGGGCGCGGGTGGAGGCGACCCGTCGCATCCCCACGACGAGTACCTCCCCGAACCTCTCACGTCATTGCAGCGAGAGGAGCTTCGCCGCCGGAACATGGACGCGCTCCACACTCCTATTGTTGGAGAAACCCCCGAGGCCCGGGCCTTGGAGGACGCGCGTTTGGCTAACCTGGTCGAGCGCACTCGACTGGAGAATCTACAGCGAATACTCGACGAGCAAGCGCGTCAGCGAGCTCCCGAGTCCAGTCGACGACAGCAAGCTCCCGAGTCCAGTAGACGTCAGCTCTTCCCGCCGCTGCAGGTATACCGAACCCCAGTTCAGAATTTGGCCGCCGCGGCCCATATAGCGGAGTCAATTCAGCCCTCCCAGTCGGAGGCTGGCAGGGGCTTGTTGCAGATCAGAGCGTTGCTCCGAGTGGCGAGAAACCAGAATTCCGCCGTTTCTCAGTCGCGGAACAGGATCCACAGTCGATCCGTTGCAACAGTAACAGTCCAGTCGGCTCACAGCCCGAGATCGCCCCCGAGGCGTGAGGGACGTGGAGACCGGCACAATCAGTACAGAAGAAATGAGCAGTATGATCACCGACCCGACCGTGATGATCGACGTCGAGTGCCAACCCCTCCCCCGAGGAGTGGGTCATATGCGCCTCGACATCGAGATGACAGGCGCCCCCATAATGTTGGGCAGAGGATTCCAGTCGACCCCAGGGACCCAGGCTTTGACGCGAGATCCATCCTCGTTCAAGCTTTGGTTGACAGAAACAAGGCTCATCGAGAGGGCCACAACAGAGATGCGCCCGCCGGCAGCAGGGTACATGCTTCGGGGCCAGAATGTTTCAGTCGAGCCATCAGGGCCGCAGTGATTCCTCCCAACTTCAGGCTAGCGACTAGAGTCAGCAAGTTCACCGGTGAATCCAAGCCTGACACTTGGTGTAACGCCTCGAGACCGATGTGCCAGGTGTCCGCCAGTTATTCGTTATCGTTGCCATGTCATTCGCTTGCGTGTTGCATCTTATCATGTCATCATGTGCATTGCATCATCATGTTTTCAAAACTTGCATCCGTCCGGGTCTCCTCGTTCTCTCCGTTGTCCGTCCTGAGCCCAAACACCTTGCACGCGCCCGCGGCATGTCCGAAATATTATTTTATAAGTGGTCGGAAAATGTTCTCGGAATGGGATGAAAGTTGGCGTGCGGCGTTGTTTTGTTGTTAGTAGGCCGCCTGCCAAGTTTCGTCGCATTCGGAGTCCGTTTGACGCCCCAACGATTAAATATAGCGGCAATAGTAGCCGGTCTAACGTCGGACGTTTTCGGTCTCCGGAAACAGTCGCCAGGCCTCCCTCTCTTCTCTCCTCTCAGCTTGAGACCGTCTACATAGCCCACCTAGTCCATCCTCTTCCCCTCTTCGCTTCCGGAGTTGCCGATGCGATCGCAATGTCCGAAACCCTCTCTGCTCAGTGCATCAAACCCCCTCGAGTGCGCGTCCGAAAACTGTCCCGGACCCGACCCGGGCTGTCGTCACCGTTGGATCCGGATCATCACCAAACGTCTACAAAACGTCATCGTTTTCTTATTTGGGGTCCCTAACTATTTTATCTCGACCGTTTGATTTTAATCGGAGGGTCCTAATAGCCCCTATCCAAAAAATCCTATTGCTATATATAGACCCAGGCAGCAACCCTAAACTCTAGGGGGCTTGTCCCATCGCCGCCGCCACCTACCATATCCCCATGGGGATCCTCCCATTCCTCCTCCCACCAACCAAAACTCGCCCGAGGCATCCAGCCTCGTCCCCGCGCCGATCTGCCGGAGTGCGTCTCTCCTTGAAGCCGACCCCGCCTCCTCTGCTTTCCCCCCCATCCGCCCGAGCACCGCCGCGCCGGCTGGCGAGCCGACGCAGACGAGCACCAGCGGGACGCCCTCGTCGCCCCTGTCCTTCTTCTTCCCTTTCTCTCCCTCGTTGCTCTGTCTCTCACCTGGATCCCTCTCTCTCTGTTTCTTCGCGCAGGAGCCCCAGCACAGCATGAACGGAGCTCCTTCCTCGACACTCGTCGCCGACCCCCCTACTTCTTTGATCCCAGCAGGAGACAGGCCACTGCCCTTCGCCAAGTTCTGCTTCTGTCGAGCCTGGGACGAGCACGTCGCCCCGCCAAGTTCCGCTCCATGGCCACCGACCCCTGCCTCGCCTTGGATCTCGCCGGGTTACTGCTTCGCTGCATGGATTCGCCGTCCCCGCGCCTTCTGGCCTCCTCCGTGCTCGATGCTCGCCGTTCCCGAGTCCCCCTGCTGCCATGGACGCCAAGCCGACCTTCTTCGAGCCCTGCTTCCCTGTAGGCGGCCCCGTTCGTCTCCAGCCGCGCGCCTGCATCGATGGGCTCAGCGCTCCCGAGCGCGTTGACTACGCCCCCCTCCACCTCCTCGTCCAACCCCGCCAGCGTGGGCGAGTGCCAGGGCCCAGCCGTCGCCCTGCTTCGCGAACGAGGCCACCCCTCGTTGTTTTGGTCCAGATCCAGCGAGCCGAGCCCAGCAGCCGGCCTGCCCAGCGCCTCCGCCTCCTCCCCGCATGGGCCGTGGCCTCCCAGGCCCAGCGCGCTGCGCCCCCGCCTTCGGCCCAGATCCGCGGCCAGCATCGCCGGCCCAGCTCCCCGCGGTCCAGCGCGCCCCCGCCTCGGCCTGGTCTACTTCCTCTCCAATCTGGGCTTCAACCCGTGGTGAGCAGCCCAGTTCCACCAGATTCGGCCCGATGCGTGTTTTTTTTCCCTGCTGCGATTTTATCTATTATCCACAGGATTGCCGTTTTACAGAAAAGTCCCTGCTGTTCATGCATATAGTAACTCTCTAACCGTGCATCGGATTAAAATAATTTATATATGAAACATGCTCAGAATTTTGTGTAGATTAATAATATGCAACTTTCACCCATGTATAAAATGATTAAACTTGTTGTTTGCATTAGTTTGCCCCTATGCCATGCTAAAACGGTTTAATTCATAACTAAATAACCGTAGCTCCGATTTAAATAAACTTTATATGTAAATGGGGTAGAATTTTGCCTAGCTTATCATGGTGACCTTACTTTGCACGTCTAACAACTCTAAAATTATGTTTAGGGCAGAACAGTACCAAATCTAAAATATGCCATGAGGATTTTTCCGGATTTGTTGTTCGTTGCTTCCGGCCTCATTTAAACTTGCCTAGATTAGATAGTTTAATTATGCTTCACCCTCTTGCCATGTTTAATAACATTTAATATTGTTGGGGTACATAAACGAGAGAGAACTAAATAATTGATGTGGTGTTCCGTCAATATGCAACCCGTTGCATATTGAGCTCCACTTAATTTGTAGGATTGTTTGTGCATTTTGCCATGCCATGCCCTCTTTAAACCGGACATGCATCATACTCGATTGTGCATCACGCCATGTTGATGTGTTGGTTGTTTACTATGTTGTGTGCTTCTTTTCCGGTGTTGCTTCCTCGGGTTGATTCCGGTAACGTCGAGTTTGTGAGGATCCATTCGACTACGCCCGTTTGTCTTCTTCATGGACTCGTTCTTCTTCCTTGCGGGATTTCAGGCAAGATGATCATACCCTCGAAATCACTACTATCTTTACTATGCTAGTTTGCTCGCTCTTTTGCAATGCCATTGCTACGATGCCTACCACTTGCTTGTCAGCCTCCCAAATTGCCATGTTCAGCCCCTAACCCACCAATGTCCTAGCAAACCGTTGATTGGCTATGTTACCGCTTTG